GTTTTATAATTTAATTTTATTTAGGTTTACTAACCTAAAATGATAAGGAAGCAAAATTTCTGCACATAGAGAGCATATGGGCTTAGATCTAGGTCCTGACCACTGTTATTCTGGGGGTGAAACTGGTACAGAAAACAAGCAGGAGGGAAATATCACTCCAAAGCACTTAAAGCAAAAGAAAGAAAGATGAGATGTCACTTCTGCAGGTGATGCAACCTACATACCAGGCCCTCAAAAGGAAGTGGTCTTCTAGTAAGAAGGCACATCTAGTGTATGTGCTACAGATGCAGGATGTTGTATCCAGGGGTGCTTCCAGCTCTTTTGAGCAACCAAAGTGAGCCCTGTGGTGATTCCTCTACATCTATTTACAGGAATTCCACCCTAGCCAGCAGGATTTCAACACAGCCAACTCATTTGCTACTGTCTGTACCCATCCACCTAGGTAGCTTGCCTTGCATTTTTGGTCAGAATAGAATTTGACTTCTTGTTTGTATTACATAAACAATAAGATGTCAAGTTGTAGCTTTTTTTCTTGATTGATTTACACAAACAGATTGGGGGTGGGGAAGAGGTAATGAAAACATTTCTGACATTTGCTTTTTCAGTACTGCAGTTATGTAACCCTGTGACAAACTAAACACAAAAAAAGGCTAAATAGCATGACAAATTACTACAGTGCCAGACTTTGAATCTGCTTATCAAACTAAAGAACATCTTAATAGATTCATAAGCAACATACCAGTAAAGTTTAAGAGTCAAGACATTCTGATGTTTCTTTTATAATTATCTATTCCAGTCATTAAATATATTATGATGCATATGTGGGACCCATGTATACTGACTTACATCTGCACAAACAAAATCTGAGCAGCGAAAATCTACTTGAATTACCTCAATACTCCCCTTTGCCTGACACACATATGCACAAACTACTTCTAAAAATCAAAGAGAAAAATGAAAGATGCAGTTAGATGTCATGGCATGCATATATGTTTAAAGATCTGATCATTTATAAGAACAATTATACAAACCTGCTCCTGTATAATTACTGGGAGTAGGGGCATGCCTTTTTTAAAAATGTGAACATAGTGCAATAAAAATTAAAGACTTTAAACTTTTGTCTTGATATTGACAGCAACTCAGACTACTTTATGAATTTATGTATTTACTAGGAGAGTTAGGAATGGAAGGGGAAAAGTAATAAACATATGAATTAAAACTACTCAGCCTCCAAAATTAAAATGGATAATTTGGAAGGCTTTTCAATTGAACTAATATTGCTAAATTGTGTTCTTTACAAACATATACTGTTAAAGAAGCCATAGTACAAATATTTGTATATAGCAAAGAGCTTGCCATAGAAACAAACTGATGTTTTTGGGGGACTGGTGAGAATAAATTTTACAAAGATCAAGGTTGTTTTCACACCTTTCTGTTACTCTCATTTGTGAAGATTTTGTTGTATACAATATTCTGCCTAATAAATCAATTGCCTTTACTACTTAGTCTTCTGCATAAAGGCCACTGAAGGTCCTTCTAGATCAGCAATGAAATTATAAAAACAGAATTAATATCTGCAAAAATGTTTGCTGTGTTACCATCGTGGCTATTGAAATCATTGGGAAAGAGCCTCTCTAAATATCTACTACCCAAACATCTTGGCAAGGGCATAGATAGCATTTATGCATCAATGCAGTATTTCACTCACTAGCAATATCACAAGCTCGAAAATAATCACATTTCATTTGTAATTAAAAACGGGTAGATCTTTCTGAACTGTTCCCCTAAAAAATGTTATACTGTTATCTACAAGATTTCTTCTTCATTAAAAAAGATTATATTGCCTGATGTCCTTAATTCCTCCAATAGCCTTACTGTAAAATCTTTAGATTCTAAATTAATTTGGAATTGGATACCTTTATATTACCTCTCTGTAGCAGATGAGCTCTTGAGTCTCCTTGGAGAGGGGAGAAGATTTTTAGGGGGGTGGGTTGCAGCTGCTGGAGGGGTTTACATACTAGCAGCTGCCAAAAGTAGAGCTGCTGCTTCTGGGTGCTTCATTTGCAGGCTGCCCCTCAGGCCAGACTAGCTGTTTTCTGCAGTGTGAAAGGGCTTCCCAGAAGGGGAAGGAGAGG